CGTCCCGCTCCGAGCGTCCTCTCTGGACCCACCGCCCACGGAGCAGCCAGCCCCGAGAGTCGGGATTTGTCTCCGTGCTTCCTGCTGGGTGTTCAAAGCTCAAAGTTTCGGATGAGATCAGTTGGGCATCCCCTCCTCCCCGCCGCAGCCTCCCACCAAAGACCTTCCGGCGCGTCCCGGAGCGATGAGTCCATCCGCGGCGGCGGCGGCACGCCTGGCACCGTTAAAGATAACCGCGGCGCCGGACTATTTTGCGTTTTTCCAAGGCTCTCCGAGCACCATTCCATTAAACTGGTGATAGCCAAGGGCTTTTATTAGTTTCTCTTACTCTGAGTGATGCCACCACGAGCAGCGCGGTGGATTATAGCACTGATTTTTATTTTTTTTTTATTATTTTTGATTTTTTTCCCCCGGTGAGGGGCTGTTGTCGTGGCTGCTCGTTTCATTTTGCTGATTTCCGGCTCACGGTTCGGTTGGATCTTTTCACTCCACGCAGGGTATTTTTTCCGATTTTCCTTTCTGGAGTGACCTTTTAAAGTAGATTTGTGTTGAGATGGGCTTGGAAGTGTGTTACGTTTCTGCCAACTGGGGGACTCAGCCCGTTCTCATTCCCAGCGTCGCGGTGATCTTCCCAAGTAAGTACCAACAGCCCGGAGTACCTGCCCCTCTTCCCGCTCATCCCAGCACCCGGCTACGCTGTGGCTCTCCGTTTCGTTACCGTATGGCTCGTTATTGACTCCTGGTTTGCTTAAAACCACCCACCTTTCACCCTGGCAAAGGATACGTTTTCCAGCGAATCCCTTCCCTCCCGCAAGCGGGTGATGCTCCCGTCCCTGCGCCAGCGCGCCGGCCGGTCGCTGCCGTTCCGCGGCTCCGCAGGCGTGGAGAGCAGTGCCGAGCTCCGGTTCGCATCCGTGGTGGAGGCACTGGGGGGTGTTTGGCCAACTCCTGGATTGGCCAGCAGGTCGAGGGAGGTGATTCTCCCCCTCTACTCTGCCCTCGTGAGACCTCACTTGGAGTATTGCGTCCAGTTCTGGAGCCCCCAACATAAGAAGGACATGGACCAGTTGGAGAGAGTCCAGAGGAGGGCCACGAAGATGATCCGAGGGCTGGAGCACCTTTCCTCTGAGGACAGGCTGAAAGAGTTGGGGATGTTCAGCCTGGAGAAGAGGAGGCTCCGGGGTGACCTTATAGCGGTCTTCCAGTACCTCAAGGGGGCCTACAAGAATGTTCAGGAGGGCCAGTTGTGATAGGACAAGGGGTAATGGTTTTAAAATAGAGGGAGGTAGATTCAGGTTGGATATTAGGAAAAAATTTTTTACCATGAGAGTTGTAGAACACTGGAACAGGTTGCCCAGAGAGGTGGTGGATGCTCCATCCCTGGAGACGTTCAAGGCCAGGTTGGACGAGGCCCTGAGCAACCTGATCTAGTTGGAGATATCCCTGTTCCTTGCAGGGGGGTTGGACTAGATGACCTTTGAAGGTCCCTTCCAGCCCTGACCATTCTATGATTCTATGATCTCGGCGTCATGGCTCGGTATTTATTTTATTTTTCCCTCCTCCCTTCTGTTACGCAGCGACCAGGACAGGGGACGATTAACCCCTTCGCCGGATATAATTGTCCTCTCCGATAATGAGGCGTCCAGTCCCCGTTCCAGCTCTCGGATGGAGGAAAGACTCAAGGCAGCAAATCTTGAAATGTTCAAGGTAAGGGCTTCCTGCTGCAGGGGATTTCGGCTTTTCCGAAGGATTCAGGAGCTGAGGGTGGTGACTTCTGCACGCAACGACCCTTGGTTCTCCGCGGTACAAATTTTTGGCTGTGTTAAAGCGTCCTCGCTCTCTCCTGCCGCCACGGCACACGCGGTGGGTCTCAGCTTGGTTGAGCTGCGACCGATTTTCCTGCCTCTCCGTAGGGTAAAAGCCTGGAGGAGCGACAGCAGCTCATCAAGCAGCTTCGGGATGAGCTACGGCTGGAGGAGGCCAGGCTGGTGCTGCTGAAGAAACTGAGGCAAAGTCAGCTGCAAAAGGAGAACGTGGTACAGAAGGTGAAGCTCCGAGCGGCGGCGTTTGGGGCTGGGTGGGATGAGGGGAAGGCGCTTGGCCTCGCGGAAGCCCGTGAGCGGGTGAACACGAAGGCTCACTCCGCTCTTGGACCTTCTGCTACTCCACTTTAGTCCTCCTGTGTGATATTTCCTACCAAAGCGTAGCAAATCCACAGCCCCCCCTGCCTGGAATGCCCCCCCCAGGGCCAGGTGAGAAGATAAATCCGTGCAGCTCTGAAGCGTTGGTCCGCGTCGGGTCTGTCCATGGATTTCCTTTCCCAGCGCCGCGCGCTGATGCCAGTTGTCCTTTTCTCTCCATCCAGACGCCGGTTGTCCAGAATGCGGCGTCGATTGTCCAGCCATCTCCTGCTCACGTGGGACAGCAGGGACTGTCCAAGCTTCCCTCCAGGCCTGGAGCTCAGGGGGTTGAGCCTCAGAACTTAAGGACATTACAGGTGAGCCTTCCTGACGCCCGTTTCCTCTGCCAAAGGCCGGGATTTTCCGTGGTGCGCACGCAACGCTGCACCTTTGTCCCTGCCCGACTCGAGGTGCCTTTTCCAAGAGGCAGATAAACGCTGGGAGGTCTCGGCGCCACGAGTAGAAGTTCCCATCTGGGAAGTTTTCTCCGCAGGCAAGGTCATCTCTGGAGCTGAGCAGCGGAGACCGAGCCACCCCCTTACGGCTTCGTGGCGAGGTCCGGCTGCGCTCCGCCGCTTCAGAAGCGGCCGGTTTTCAAGCGGGGGGGGCTGGGGGGGATTCGGGTCGTGTGTGGCGGAAGGAGCTGGGTTTGGGCAGCGGTGGGCCTGAAGAAGGTCGTCTGCTGCTCGGTAAAACGCAAGTTGTGAGGCTGCAGGAAGAAAATTCCCGATTTGCGCGTGCCCGCGGGAATGGCCCGTCGGCAGAGCTGCCGTTTGAAACGGTACAGGATGCTCAGAGGAAGAGGGTGGCAAAAAATGCCACGGAAAGAGGGAATGGCCATGTTTGCCTTCTTTGGGACGGCGCTGGAGGCAGAGCAGGGTGCTGTCCGGCCCGGTGCCGCTCTGCCCGGGCGCTGGGAGAGCGCCGGTTCTGGATGACACAGTTTTAATGTCGCGCCGGTGAACGTGAAGCCGACGGTACGAGCGCGCTGGAAGGAGAGTGCTCGGGGTGTCGGCACCGGCAATCGATAGGAATTCTTTCCTGGTGTTTGGTCTAGCTCTGCCACGGGGCTGGGGGTCCCCTGCCACCTCGGGGCACGTCCCCGAGCGTTCCCCTTCCCCGAGCTCCGTAGCTTCAGGAAATGGACTTTGTCCTTCCAGCAGGAGGCTGTCAGTTGTGTTTCTTTGATAATATATCGGAATAAAAAGTCCCAGCAATGCGGTTGTGAACCCAGACGGTGGGAAGGAGGATGGTGTTTGGGACGAGGACGGATGGAGGTGATCCCCCAGCGTTGCCTGTAGCTTTCCCTCCTGCCAAAAGACTTTCATTTCAGTCTCGCCCATCGTTTTCTCCCTCCATTAACCATCTCCTTTGTTTGTGGCATTTGTTTTCTTCGCTATGGCAACGATTCGGGGTCGAGCCTATTGTGGCTTCGCAGTGGGATCGGGCTGGTGGAGGAAATGGATTTAGGGGAAGAGGAAAGACATTGTTTGCGCAGTCTTTGAGAAGGTTTTCTTACGCGTGACGGTGGAGAGCCTCGTGAGGAGTGAGTCTAATAAAAGAAAAAGAGGAAAAGTTGTTGGATAACGGGGTGTTTAATGTTTTAAGATCCTCCTTGATAAAAAAATGGAGATCTTCTGCCCCTTGGAGCCGTTCCGGCGAGGCTCAGTGACGCGGAGACCTCGCTGGGAGCGGAGCGGTAGGAGCAGGCCGGGCAGGGCG